AGGCCCCTGGAGGCCCATGCTCCACCCCTGGAGGCCCCTGGAGGCCCCTGGAGGACCCTAAAGGCCCCTGGAGGCCCCTGTGTACCTGCAGCATGCGCTCCTGCTCTTGCTGCCACCTTTCCTGACGCTTTCGCTCCTCATCCGGGTCCCAAGACCAGCGGTCTCCCCGCCTGGCCAGGGGCAACACCGGGACTGACACCTGATAGACCCCACCGTACACACACACACACACACACACACACACACACACATGCGTGGACCCACACACCACAGTTCATGCACGCGTCGGGATCCCGCAGAGATCGACATCAATGTGCATCCACACATCCACCACAAAAGAGGGAGAGAAAGGAGGAGACAGAAATATTTGGTCTACCACAAACAGCACTACTCCAACCAATGCTAGCCAAAGGACTCCTACTAAGAGAGAGAAAACAGAGAAATAGAGAGATGAGCGTGAATGAAAATAAAAAGCAGTTTCAGCCTCATCTGGCATGCTACAGCAAAACCCTTTAGGGTCGGGTCCCCATTAGCTGAAAGTCAAAGACTGAGCTAAACTGAGCTTAAAACCTACGCTAATCTGATTACATTTGGTTTAGAAATCACTACATGACAGTAACGTTTGCAATATTTACAGTTTTAGCTGCTTGGTTTTGTTCAGGCTTCGTGTGGGAAACGTTCTGGAGCCATTTTAGGGTCAAAATGTCAGATAATTGGACCTAATTTTTTAATGGAGCCATGCTTTGGGCTGCTAGTGAAGCCATTACACAAGTAAACAAAAGTACGAGTTGCTAGGTAGGAGCTCATTGTGAGAGAAACTGGAGGAGAACAAAGGCGGGATGACTTGGAGGGAACAAGATAAATTTGCCAGTGAAATAATGTTAACTTAAAATAATGTTAACGCCACATATAAGAGGTGTCGTCTGTAGCTCCGCCCCTCTGAGTGAGGACTGACCAAATTGTGCAATTTGTTGATTTTCAAAGACTGAAAATTCAGCTTGAAAACAAATGTTTGAAAGAAGAAACATTCTGACCCTGAAAATGGCTCCACAGAAAGGCGTTTTCTGATCTTTAACCAACTTCTAACCTCTAATACTTATCTGAACTTTATATGAAGCAGATAAAGAGGCTTTCTTGTATAAGTTAAGAGCATCTGTTTGTTGGAATCTGTTTATCTTCCTCGCACAACAAAATACCGAATGAGATCTTTAGCCAGATGGGAAGCAGTAAAAGAGCTTTCAGCAAAGGGATTTTACTCACATGTGAGCACAGATCCTTCTCTGAGTCTTCTGCAGAAAGAAAAGGGAAACGATCAGAAAAAACTACGACAAACGTCGTAGACACAAGAGACGAAACAAAGTCCGTTGGATGGGGAAACGTGTTCGGGGAAATGGAAACACACCATGAGCTGGTTTGACAACCTGAGGAGTAAAAATGCTGATGAGAGCAGTCAAAGGAAACTGAAGTCCACCAAAAGCTGCAGCTGATGTGTGTTAAAAAAACACAACCAGTATCAGTCAGTAGAGTTCGTTTCTGAGCTTTATGCTGCCAACAATATAGATTTTTTTCTTTAAAGAGTGATCAAATTGTTCCAATCCCAGATGTGAGTCAGGCTGGAGGCTGTAGCTTCTGGTGGAAACATCAGTTTTATGAAACAAACAGGCAAACGTAGAGCTTAAGTAAGAAATGCCACACACTTAACTCTAGTTATTGACAATTTTGATAGCTTGTCAAAGTTTTTTTTTAATACAGAAATTGACGATTAAGTCTAAATCAACGCTTTCTTTGACAGATACAACACACTGATCAGATACTGTAGATGCTGTAATTGTGTCATTTGTAGCACAAATGAGTAACCGAAAAGCACATTTCAAACAATAAGAAAACACCACGGATTATACACAGGATGTTGGACATGAAGGATAAAACAGGAGATGGGTGGCAGCCTGAAGCCCTCTCCTGGACCTCAGAGGTTTACCTGGAGGAGCGAAGAAGTCCGAGCGTGACTTAGGATTGCTGGATGCCTGCGGAGAGCTGACACTGATTTCACAGTCTACAGCAATACGGAAAAGTGTGCGGACAGAAGGAAAACAGGGAACGTGGGAGGAAAGGAAGAGAGGGGAGGAAATGAGGGATAGGACAAATGTCAAAACCGGGGGCTGAAATGGACACCCTGATAGTAAAAAGCAGCCAAACTGAGCACGTTTTACACAATTGGAAAACATTTTTCCAATCCAAAAGGCTGCCTTATCCCAATTATGATCACTTGAAAATGTTCTTTGAAAAAGACAATGTTGTCTTTCAACTCAAAATGTCTTAACGGATCATTATCACTGCAGGAGACATGAGAAACGAATAAAATATGATCTGGGATCTTAATTACCTCTGTAAAACCAGAACCAGAATCAGAAATACTTTAATAATCCCAGAGAAATGATCTTTGTTAGTAACTCCAGAAATACAACAGATCAAATGCTATTCTCGAGGGAAAAAGACAGGTGGCCACTAAATGAAATGCTCACCAAATGAAAAAAGAAGATGTATAAATAAATAAATGCCTTTATATGGACACAAAGAGGAGAATTCACCTGCTGCTTTTTCCCGGAGAGGGACACATCCAAAGGAGGCCGTCCGCAGCGGAGACTCCACAGAAACGGAAACATTTCCCTGCAGAGGGATTCAACATTAACGTATCTGCTCTGATCTGGTTCATTTGATGAACCAGATTTATAGATGAAAGCTGTTTTCTCACCCTGGAGGTTATCAGCGGATGCTGAGCGTTGACCTCTGACTGGACGGTACTGGAGGGTTTTTCACTGGATGGTTCAGAGATTTCCTGTTTCTGTTTGGCTTCTGGAGCAAGAATTAAAAAAATAATGTTTAACGCTTTGTCAACAAACAGTTCATGAATTGGTTACAAATAAAAAAATAAAAAAATAAAAAAATAAAAAAATAAAAAAATAAATAAATAAATAAATAAATAAATAAATAAATAAATAAATAAATAAATAAATAAAAAAATTAAAAAATAAATAAATAAAAAAATAAAAATAAATAAATAAAGATAGATAGAGAAATAAATAAACAAATAAAAAAGTGTAGACCACTAAAGCAACCACTAGGTGTCAGTGTGGCGCTCGGACCTGCTGGGGGGGAATAACGGGCTGCAGGTTTTGGTTTCTCTTCCTGTGGAGCGACTTCTGTATGACCCGTCGTCCCAAAGGTTTCCTCTGGCTTCTGCAGCTCCTGAAAAGACAGTTTTCCGTCTGAATGACCGACTGAGGGGAGCACATCAGAAACCCTGGACTGGGGAAGACGAGGATGTGAAACCCTCAACTTTCAGAATTCAACTTCTCTGACTACTGGCCAAAATCCAAAAAGGGAACATCACGATGAAGCAACATAGTTTCGGAAAAATGTAAACTGCTGTGTGCTTTTCCACTAAATCCACTAAACTTTTAACCCTTGTGTTCGGGTATGTGGGACCCGTTTTCATTTTTTATTAAAAGAAAAATGATACACAATTAATTAATTTTTCAAACTGAGACTTACTGGCTTTCGCTCATTTTCTGTGAAAAAACATATCAGAATACATATTTAATGCCCACACACCGTACACCCCCCCCTACACATTTCTATTAGATATAAGATGTTCTGGTCCACTGGACCCGGGGCTAAAAGAAGTGTGGAAATTGATGTTCTGTGTACCACACACACACACAAACACACACAAACACACACTCACAATGTTGCAACCTTGTGTGGGAACCCCAGGTGCACAAACACAAAAGAAACAGTTCCCACTCATCGTTTGTCTGCTCTAATTTTCTGTCTATCTGCTAAAAATTGGGGGCGGGACCACACTGGCCCAGCTTTGCCAGAGTGGTTTCTTACAACTGATCAAAATGGCCAAAAGGTTCTCTGCCCAGAGGGCCCTGGAATTGATTTTGGATGAGAGAGAGAAGTTAAGATAGGGTAAACATCTGTTCAGTATTTAAACATAGAAGTGTTTGATTTTGAGGAATTAAAAGTCACAAAATGCAACGGGTCCATCAGACCCACAAACACTGGCTGAGTAACAACAATATGAACACCACACAGAGGAAAAGGCCGAACAGTTTATTCTGTTTACTGTTTTCTAGACCAGTGTTTTTCAACCACGGTGCCTCGGCACACTAGTGATGGTCAGGTGTGCCGTAGAAAATCATCCTATTTCACCTAATTAGTCCCCAAAAATCTTTTGAAAAGGAATTAATTTTCTGAAAATAATATGCCATTTTTGAGTGTCTGTGCTGTACTAGTGACTGGTGGAGTAATCATGTTATAATTCCTTATGACTAGATTTTGTATATAATTTTGTATAATGAAGTGGACATGTTAAGTGCAATTTGAAAGAAGAAATATAAAATATGATAAAAATACATTTTTGTGTTTATTTGATTCCTATTCAAGGCACTTAAGATAAGATAAGAATAAAATAAGAATAACTATAGTGTTACTATAGGCGGCTACAGATTTGTTTAACATTTTTGGTTGGTGTGCCTCGAGATTCTTTTAATGAAAAACTGTACCTTGGCTTAAAAAAAAGGTTGAAAAACACTGGTCTAGACTCCTGACTCTCACCCCTGGAAGTGAAGTGGGCCGGCTGAGGGGGGGCAGATGCTCGGTGGATGTTTTCTCTTCCTCAGATGGCTCTGGGCTTCTCTCTGTCTGTCCGGTGGATGTGGAGTCGGGACTTCCTCCTGCTGCTGATGGAGGAGCTACCGGAGCACTGTCGGCTGTTTGGGAAGGCGAGGCCTGGAAACGAGGAGGAGACTCCCGTCCTGGACTTTCAGGCTTCGTGGGGACGTCTGCGACACCGTTCACTCGCAGGAAACCGTCCGCCTGGATCACAACAGAACAGAGCCAGCGTTGGGTTTTGTTAGAATAATTGTACAAAAGTTATCATGCATTCTCTTAACTCATTGGCTGCCAAAGACGTCTATAGACGTCAATTCAAATACAACCGTTGACTGCCAAAGACGTCTATAGACGTCTTTTATGTTTTTCAGCGAGAGTGGCTGGGGGACGATCTGCTAAAGCTTGTCCGTAAATATCAGGCTTCTAGACAGAGTATGTAGTAACAAATTGACCCTCTAGGGGGCAGTGCCACTTTTGATGGGAGATGATCATAGACTACGCAAATAAGAAAAAGGTAACGGTTCGCTATGAGAGAACATGTCGCTGATGAGACGCAAGTCCAGGAAGAACGGAATAAGGTAGAAACAAAAATGTTTTCCTGATGAAAGAAGAGAGTCTACTCTTTCTTTTGGTGTGTTCGGTGTTTACATAGTCATAGCACAAACTATTCTGTGGCTCTTGAAAAATCAGTCAAAATGCTCAAAAAACTCTAGCAGAATGGGACTCTCTGTTCTGAAAATGGCTGCCAGTCAATGAGTTAATTACATATGTGTGTGTGAATTTAAAGGTTTAACTGTGCTTGTGTGGTAGCAAGAAATTGTTATCATAAGTACAAGTTGGTTTGCAGAAATGAGAAGCTGACCACAGCAGTGATCCTTGTGACCACACACCTTTTTGGTAGCGTGAAACAGAGGAACAACTGCACTTTGTTTTACTGTCAAACCAGTTGCATCCTGTGATTAAGAACAATGTATAATCAATCATGTGTGCTTCTTCTGTCTTTCGAGTAGATGACGTCACAAGATGTGGTAGGAACCAAATAAAAAGAGAGGAGAGCAGCAAGAGCACTCAGAGTAGGTTGGAGATTGTAAAGTATTCACTGAACTTACTGTGTCTGTCTATTTTTTTCCTCTTACAGCAATGAGTTTAGAAGTGTTTAGGGGCATAACCCTGACAGGTTTGCTCCTGTACACGTCAGCATCAAAGCATCACAGAAAAATACAGAAAGCTGCTTTCCCTGAAACACGTTTTTAAAACTGTACAATTACTGTACAATTACATCCCTCAAAGTCAAATCGTAGCTTATTACATGACAATAACTGGTTCAGTTATGACCAAAACCAACCAGCAGAAACCAGGAAAAGATCTTCTGAACTAGGGTTGTCACGATACTAAAATTTCCAACTGGATGCCGATACTCAGGAAAATACTCGATACTCGATACCACAAGGATAAAAACAAAGACCCCAAAATGTAACTGAATTTTGACAGGTTAGTGTCTTTCCTTTCAAACTGACCTGTTAGTGATGATATTGTGACTGGTGGCCCGCATTAATAACCCTAACCCTGACCCTAACCCTAACCCTAACCCTCTAGCCTTCATAATTGTGAGAAAGAAATATTTTTTGGTTAAACTTGTTTGGACTTATTCTACAAACCTATTCAACATTACACTATGGTGGTATCGCTACTTTTGAAAATGAGTATCGTATCCGGATACAACATTTTAGTATCCATACTTTTGACAACCCTACTCTGAACAAGGATCCTTCACTCTCATTTGAAGACTCTTCTCCGGGAGTTATTAGCCGTTCTTTTTGCCCACAACACCCCGCTGGCCTCGATGACAAAGAGGCACTAATGTATGTCTGGGGCTCCTGGAGAGCCGT